GTAGTCACATGAACACCGGTCATAGAGCACTCACATATACGAAGAGTCACATGAACACCAGTCATAGAGCACTCACATATACCAAGAGTCACATGAACACCAGTCATAGAGCACTCACATATACCAAGAGTCACATGAACACCGGTCAAAGAGCACTCGCATATACCAAGAGTAACATGAACACTGGTCATAGAGCACTCACATATACCAAGAGTCACATGAACACCAGTCATAGAGCACTCACATCTACCAAGAGTCACATGAACGCCGGTCATAGAGCACTCACATCTACCAAGAGTCACATGAACACCGATCATAGAGCACTCCCATATACCAAGAGTCACATGAACACCAGTCATAGAGCACTCACATCTACCAAGAGTCACATGAACACCGGTCATAGAGCACTCACATATACCAAGAGTCACATGAACACCGATCATAGAGCACTCGCATATACCAAGAGTCACATGAACACCGGTCATGGAGCACTCACATATACCGAGTCACATGAGCACCGGTCATAGAGCACTCACATATACCAAGAGTCAAATGAACACCAATCATAGAGCACTCACATATACCGAGTCACATGAACACCGGTCATAGAGCACTCACATATACCAAGATTCACATGAACACCGGTCATAGAGCACTCACATACCAAGAGTCACATGAACACCAGTCATAGAGCACTCACATATACCAGTAGTCACATGAACACCGGTCATAGAGCACTCACATATACCAGTAGTCACATGAACACCGGTCATAGAGCACTCACATATACCAAGAGTCACATGAACACCGGTCACAGAGCACTCACATATACCAAGAGTCACATGAACACCGGTCATAGAGCACTCACATATACCAAGAGTCACATGAACACCGGTCATAGAGCACTCACATATACCAAGAGTCACATGAACACCGGTCATAGAGCACTCACATATACCAAGAGTCACATGAACACCGGTCATGGAGCACTCAGAAAGAGTCCTTTGTTCACCCAAAGGTGTAGGGAGGCAAAAACTAGGTGTACTAGAGAATAGAAAAGGTACAGAAGACAGAGAACTCAGGAAAATAAAGAAATCAGCTGAAGAGCCAGAAACGAATATGCACAGATAAGAAGGGAGGCTCAGAGACAATATGAAAATGACATAGCATCAAAAGTCAAGACTGACCCGAAGCTGTTGTACAGCCACATCAGGAGGAAAACAACAGTCAAGGACCAGGTAATCAGACTGAGGAAGGGTGATGAGGAATTCACAAGAAACGACCGAGAGGTTTGTCAGGAGCTCAACACAAGATTTAAAGAGGTATTTATAGTGGAAACCAGTAGGACTCCAAGAAATCAGAACTGGGGGGCACACCAGCAAATGCTGGATGAGGTACATATAACCAAGGAGGAGGTGAAGAAGCTGCTATGCGAACTTGATACCTCAAAGGCGGTGGGACCAGACAACATCTCTCCATGGGTCCTTAAAGAGGGAGCAGAGATATTGTGCGAGCCATTAACAAAGATCTTCAACACAGCATTTGAAACTGGGCAACTCCCTGAGGTATGGAAAATGGCAAATGTAGTCCCAATTTTTAAAAAGGGAGACAGACATGAGGCACTAAACTACAGACCTGTATCACTAACGTGTATAGTATGCAAGGTCATGGAGAAGATCATCAGGAGGAGAGTGGTGGGGCACCTGGAAAGAAACAAGTGTATAATTGACAACCAGCACGGTTTCAGAGAAGGAAAATCCTGTGTCACAAACCTACTGGAGTTTTATGACAAGGTGACAGAAGTAAGACAAGAGAGAGAGGGGTGGATCGACTGCATATTTTTGGACTGCAAGAAGGCCTTCGACACAGTTCCTCACAAGAGGTTACTGCAAAAGCTAGAGGATCAGGCACACATAACAGGAAAGGCACTGCAATGGAGCAGAGAATATCTGACAGGGAGGCAACAACGAGTCATGGTACGCGACGAGGTGTCAGAGTGGGCGCCTGTGACAAGCGGGGTTCCACAGGGGTCAGTCCTAGGACCTGTTCTGTTCTTGGTATATGTGAAAGACATAACGGAAGGGATAGACTCAGAAGTGTCCTTGTTTGCAGATGATGCGAAGTTAATGAGAAGAATCAAATCTGACGAGGATCAGGCAGGACTACAAAGAGACCTGGACAGGCTACAAGCCTGGTCCAGCAACTGGCTCCTTGAATTTAACCCTGCCAAATGCAAAGTCATGAAGATTGGGGAAGGGCAAAGAAGACCGCAGACACAATATAGTTTAGATGGCCAAAGACTGCAAACCTGACTCAAGGAAAAAGATCTGGGGGTGAGTATAACACCGAGCATATCTCCTGAGGCACACATCAATCAGATAACTGCTGCAGCATACGGGCGCCTGGCAAACCTACGGATAGCGTTCCGATACCTCAGTAAGGATTCGTTTAAGACTCTGTATACCATCTACGTCAGGCCCATACTGGAGTATGCAGCACCAGTTTGGAATCCACACCTAGTCAAGCACGTCAAGAAATTAGAGAAAGTGCAAAGGTTTGCAACAAGACTAGTCCCAGAGCTAAGGGGATTTTCCTACGAAGAAAGGTTGAGGGAAATCGGCCTGACGACACTGGAGGACAGGAGGGTCAGGGGAGACATGATAACGACATATAAAATACTGCGCGGAATAGACAAGGTGGACAAAGACGGGATGTTCCAGAGAAGGGACACAGACACAAGAGATCACAATTGGAAGTTGAAAACTCAGATGAATCAAAGGGATGTTAGGAAGTATTTCTTCAGTCATAGAGTAGTCAGGCCGTGGAATAGCCTAGAAAGGGATGTAGTGGAGGCAGGAACCATACATAGTTTTAAGGCGAGGTATGATAGAGCTCATGGGGCAGGGAGAGAGAGGACCTAGTAGCAATCAGCGAAGAGGCGGGGCCAGGAGCTGTGACTCGACCCCTGCAAACACAAATAGGTGAGTACAAATAGGTGAGTACTCACATATACCAAGAGTCACATAAATTTTTCCCCTGATCCAGTACATCAGAGTTGAAAATTTAACCTGACCGAGTAAGACTTTCTCTAGTTATAAACAAAATTTTAGGGGGAAAAAAAAGCCTAAAAAATGTAGATTAGAATGTTTGGAAAATGTGAATGTATCCTCGTTAAATTTTTTTTTTTTTTTTCATTTTGTTTTGTCATCTTTATTGTATTCAAAATTATCTATAATCCTTAAGAAAAAAAAAAACCTGATTTTGAGAGAAAATAGGATTTGATATATTTTTCATAATAAATTGGCATTTTGGCACCTTCGCAGAAGATGTCAATATAAAAACACTGCATGTAAAACAAAAAAAATACTAGTGCTTAGAGTTTGATGCCGATCAGAAGGTTGATTCTCTAGTTTTACACGAAAAATAATTTGTTTTTCAAAAAAGCAAATTAAAATTTACACAGTGAACGTCAACTGCTTCAACAAATTTCCTGTAATTATATGCAACTTTAGCAAAGTTCAGCCATGATGTATTGAAGAATTTGACACTTTATTACACAAAATGGTCGAATTTGCCCCTACACACTTGAATGTCAATTTCTGCTATTCTCTATTATTTTTGACACGTTTTAGAGCGTTAGAAGCTGCACTACAGATAATTTTGAAGTTATTAGAGCTATTGCAAAATGTTGGGAACGAGTTGAACAACTTAGGTCATATCGCAGGTCAAAATAATTGTTCCAAGAATTTGGCGACCATTACTGTATAAATTGTTGATACTTAAGGCGACTTGATGAGCCATTCTCGAGTTATGCGAGAAATATAATCGAAAAGTTAAAAAAAAAAAAAAAAAAATCATGCATCATTTTATGGTATCCCTTCTTATGGTGTCCCTTCTTACGGTATCCCTTATGGTATCCCTTCTTACGGTATCCCTTCTTACGGTATCCCTTCTTATGGTATCCCTTCTTATGGTATCCCTTCTTATGGTATCCCTTCTTATGGTATCCCTTCTTACGGTATCCCTTACGGTATCCCTTCTTATGGTATCCCTTCGAGGATACCTAATAAAAGTAAAGATGTAGAAGTAAAAATAATAAAAATTAGAAGAATAAAAAGTAGAAAATTAACAATTAGAAAAACAGCGATAGTAATAGTATTTTTATGGGAATAATAACCGCGGAGGTTAACAACTCTGCATAACAAAAGGACATCAATGAACGTGACAATTTTCCTCGGGACTTCAAGGTCTTTTCAGATCTTCTTTACGACAACCATTTAACTTAAAAAGATCAGCAACTGTGTAACGTCAGTAAGAAATATTTTCAACGTTGTTTTGATAAAAGTACACCCATCGACACCATGCCCAGCCCTTCTAGGGTAGGGTAGGTGCCTGAGCCCGAGCCTTTAGCTCATAAGACTGTCATTCCCATTACCCCCCTTGTGGCGGGGATGGCAGACCAGAGAGGCCTAGCTTGTGGCTAGGCCTGGGGACAGTTGGTCCCAAAGATGAGGAGGTACTTGTACCTCCTCCCATGGGAGACTTAGGTCTCAGACACTCCCTAAAGAGGGAGCCAAGGCCGGGCCACCACTTGGAAAAGGCCCGGGCCGGGAGAATACCGGCTAATCTTTAATAATAATAATAATAAAAGTACACCTGACACCCAGGTAGCAAACTTGTTAAACAATAAAACTGAACATTGCTGCTGATAATCTCAGGGTAACACTGGCATGCGCGCGCACACGCATGCACGCTTAGTAACTTATTCTATACAGGCCAAGTGTCTATCGACAAGTAACTGACAACGAGTAACTAATACTGGATTATATGATATTTGGATGAACGATCCTAAATTGAGCTCAACATTTTAAGCTGTTTGTTGACAATGTGTCAACCCAGGAGACATTATTCATCAATATTACTCACATTTACTTCATCCATTATGAGTCCTTTAAAAAGTGTTTTTTTGAATAACACGAAAAATAATTATTATCACTTACTTATAATGAAAACAGTGGAGAGCTGTCAGGACCCATTGTTGGTTGATAAGAACACCAGCACAGAACCAGTTAACTGAACCCTGGACAGTCCGCTCTCCCAGTAGTGCCTAACATAAAGCTTTAATTAATTATAAATTACTAAAGTGGACTCTGTAATTCGCGTATTATCAAATATAAAAACAATTACATTCTTATCAGCATCTCCTAGTTTATGGTGTTGGGAGAGTTCTTTATATGAGCAGAGACATAAGGCGCAACTAAGTTTCCCTGTCTTCTAAAAACATGTTCATTATTTCGTAAGGTGAAGTCTAGGGTCTTTACTTAATTCATGGTATAACTTATCAAATCTTTGATGACAGTTGTGTTGCAGAGGTCTAAGTTGTGCTCAACCTCTACAACACAATTGATCCTAGACTTCACGTGGACTTCACCTTACGAAAGCAGACAATGCAAATGCGATAGTAATTACTGATGAGTTAGATTATAGGGAAAAATAAGCATGATATTAGAAGACAGGGGAAATTACTTGCCCCTGAATCTTGTTTCAATATGAATCAGATAGAGGACCGAGGGAAAAAAATGCTGGATGATTTGAGTAAAAAAACTGGTTGCAAAATAAATATGACTGGTAAATCACAAGGAAAAATGGCAAAATTGGGGGTAATGAACCGTTATATTAATGTAAAATACCATCTGGGAGACAAATAAGACTTGTGGAATGATATGATGATCTGGTGTATTATGTAATGGAAATTAGCTTCGAAAAGAATTTTTACAAGCAATGGTTAGTTCAATAAGGATTTTGATGCTAATGCATAAGTAATTTAAGAATGAACTTTCTGTTGAGATGAGAATGGTTAGATTAGCACTTTTAAAGGCATTAAAGTCACTAAATTTAGTAATTTTAAAGATATAATGAAATTAAAACTTTAAATTTTCTAATGGGTAATGCACAATGACCCAATCTTTGTTTTTCTCCTAAATCAGAGATTCTGGAGATTTTAATTTTTTTAATGCAAAATAGTCAACCCTCCTTTAAGGAAAATCGAGCTAATGACTAATTTGAGAGAGTTAAGTTGGTTATGGTCCAAGAGCTGGAACGTGAGGGAAAGGCATGGTCTTAGCTGTAATCTTGATCCAAGGTGTTGGAGGAAGATGGTGTTCTTGACGTGGGAATTGTAGGTTGATTGGTATTGTTCTAACTGACAGAGACAAAGTTCAAGAGGGGGGCTAAAAGACTTTTTTTTTAGTTAACCTATTTGAATGAAATTTTTACTACGATTTAAACAGCATTTCAGACGTGGACGCCATGTTTGTAGTGACTTTTGCCTCAAAAGATAAAGAAATAAAATAATTTCCTATTAAAATAGGACATTATAATACAAAAATCATATTGCAAAATTGGTAAGTATAAAAAAACACAAATTGGCATCATGTCCTCTTGGTGATAGCAAGGAAAAAATGCAGTTTTATTTTTGGAAAAAGATACTTAGAAATATGATACAAACAAGTTGAGTGCATCAACTTGTTTGTATCACATTCTGGCAACAAGTTGATTGCATCAACTTGTTTGTATCACATTCTGGCAACAAGTTGATTGCATCAAGTTGATTGCATCAACTTGTTTGTATCATTCTGGCAACAAGTTGATTGCATCAACTTGTTGCCAGAATTATGCACTAATTTGGGTAAGAAAACATTTTTTCCCAATTTTTTTTCTTGTAAAAGCCCTCTCCTCTCAAGGCGGATCTTGCTTCAAGAAATTGGAGCTTGGATATTTAAGATGAGAAAGATCTAGATCCAAGAAAATGCATTATGGTCTTTGATGTGGTAAAGGGACTGGAGATGTAGGTGGAGGATGGTATGTGATGGGATCATGATCATAGGAAATGGAGCTAGGTCAGTCATGATCCAAGAACTGGCGCATGTGTGATGGAGAGTGGGAATGAACAAGTGGTTTTAGGCAAATAACATTACAACTAGCCGGGGATCGAACCCCCAATATTTTAGCATGCCGTACATGTAACAACATGACCCACCACACACTGTAGTCAGTTATGCAACACCTTAGCAAAATGTTTATAACTTGCCCATAAGAGTGAAATAGCACGATAATGACAACTTCCCACCTGTGTTTTATTTTTAGGGACCAGAACAACGACCGCCGTCGACTGAAGAGGTCCCAGTCTATTCACCTTTTACATCGCATTCAGGAGGTGTACCAAAAATCCCCACAATAACTTCCAATGCTTGACAAATCCAACTGGAATACCATCAATTCCCGGAGATTTACCCGATGTCATTCCTGATATTTCCTTAAAAAATTTCTTTTCTAACGCTGGCCTGCCCCTCTTCTTAAGATTACACAAAATTCCCTTACAAACATCGGACACAGCTCCTCCCTCCGCTACCTTCTTTTCCAATATTTCTCATACCACCTGTCCACGAAAATACCCATCTCATCTGTGGTCTGCAGAACTTGCCCCTCCTGAACCCACCCACTTGACAATGCACATCTATGTAAAGTAAAAGGACACAAGTGCAACTAATGTGACATTTATTGTGGCAACGTTTCGCTCTCCAGGAGCTTTATCAAGCCATTACAAACAATACATGGACACAGAGGGTATATAAAGGCTCAGAGTGAGGTGAATACTAGTGAGGTACCATTGCGATGTTCACTAGTGGTAGTAGTAGTAGTAGTAGTGGTAGTGACAAAAGTAATACAATATGGTAGAGCAATTAATTCGTACATGAGTAAAAGGATATAAAAGCTATTACTTGGGTAACATAAAAATAGGTTGGACAAATATAGACTGGAATGAGGCAGCTTGTTTCAGTGTTCACTCTCTGTGCTTTGTGTAGTATAACAGGAGAGACTATGTGATGGCAGGGTTTACTGTTTTCAGGAGGATTCTTGCTAAGACTTCGGAGATGGTGAAGCTGCCGTTGTTTTGTTTAATTGTATTCGAAACAGCGATCAGTGCTGATTCAAGGCACTTGCGTGTGCGGAAATTAGTTTCTTTTATCACTAATTGGGCGTCTCTCCATCCGTAACAAGAAACTAAGCAGTTTGGATGTGACTTCCCTCTTCACAAAAGTACCTACCAAAAAAGCCATCGAGGTTCTACGACGTAAAGTCAACCAGGACCTTAATCTTCCTTTACCTCCCGGAGATTTTGTCGACTTGATTGAACTCTGTTAACTTCAACTGTTTTTCCTTCAATAACAAGCTCTACAAACAAACCTACGGCATGGGAATGGGGTCCCCAATAAGTGCCGTCCTAGCCAACTTATACATGGAACACCTAGAGTCCGAACACTTCGCCAACATCATCCCTTCAAGCGTCACTTGGTTACGTTACGTGGACGATGTCCTCGTAATAACTCCAAAACGTTTTGATGTACGGGATCTTCAGGCAAGGCTCAACGCAGTTGAACCAGCGATTCAGTTTACACTAGAAGAAGAGTCCAATGACAAGCTACCTTTCCTCGACGTCCTCATTCACAAAGTAGACAACAACCTAAGATTTCAAGTTTATCGGAAACCCACCAATAAAAATGATCTCACACACTTCTATTCCAGTCAAGATACCAAGACCAAAAGAGGCATCATCATCGGGTTTTTCCTAAGAGCATACCGAATTTGTAGTCCTGAGTTTCTTGACGAGGAATGTACTTACATTCACCAAACATTCACTGAGTTACAATTTCCTTCTTTTTTCATCAAAGACTGCAAGAAAAGAGCTCTTCAGATCATCAATTCTCCACGCATCAACACCGCTCCCAACAAAGTTATAATTCTTCCCAACAGCCAGGTTGCACTAAACGTCTCAAAAGTACTTTCACAAGCTAACACCAGAGTCGCCATCGCTTCTACCACTTCAATAAAGGATCTAACCAGGACAAAACCCAAGCACCACGAACCAGTCAATGCAGGAGTTTACACTATACCCTGTGGAGGCTGTGACAAGATCTACGTAGGTGAAACAGCAAGAAACCTCGACACCCGCCTCAATGAACACATATACGCATGTAGGAACGACAACTTAAACAACGCCTGTGTACAACACCGAAATTCCACCAATCATCTTATGAAATTCAGAGACGCCCAATTAGTGATAAAAGAAACTAATTTCCGCACACGCAAGTGCCTTGAATCAGCACTGATCGCTGTTTCGAATACAATTAAACAAAACAACGGCAGCTTCACCATCTCCGAAGTCTTAGCAAGAATCCTCCTGAAAACAGTAAACCCTGCCATCACATAGTCTCTCCTGTTATACTACACAAAGCACAGAGAGTGAACACTGAAACAAGCTGCCTCATTCCAGTCTATATTTGTCCAACCTATTTTTATGTTACCCAAGTAATAGCTTTTATATCCTTTTACTCATGTACGAATTAATTGCTCTACCATATTGTATTACTTTTGTCACTACCACTACTACTACTACTACTACCACTAGTGAACATCGAAATGGTACCTCACTAGTATTCACCTCACTCTGAGCCTTTATATACCCTCTGTGTCCATGTATTGTTTGTAATGGCTTGATAAAGCTCCTGGAGAGCGAAACGTTGCCACAATAAATGTCACATTAGTTGCACTTGTGTCCTTTTACTTTACATATTGTCGGTAATTCTACCAACTTTATTACAATGCACATCTAGACATAAAATAGTCACCCGCCTCCACTGCTGCTGTGCTAGTAACACACACGCAGATGGTTTGTCACCCCATAATGCCTCCTCCACCGCCGCCTGTACCCTCAATGCATCATACTGCTCATTATGCAAGCCCCTGATTAAGAACTTCAAACTCTTCATTTCATCCATATGGTACATCCCGTTAGCCGCCCCTTCCCTATCATATTGACGCAGTCTACCTTCATAATAATTCATTAACCCATATCTCATAGTTTAAGCCTCCTACCATCTCCCACATAAAACTTATGGATCGCAGGTTTTGCCACCTTGTCTCACTAACACACCAATCCCTCTTCACCCACCCCATATTGTTTTACCTCCCACCATCCCTCAAAACCCACTACCACTTCCTCACTGCCAGTGTATCCCACTCCACCTCCATGAGAACTGCCTGACC